AAAGGGCTCAGGTTGACACTACCCTGAGCCCTTTAAATTGCAGCCCCACCCTATTCAGCCTGAGGCCCCACCCCTTCCAGGAGCAGAACCAGGGTGCCCCTCCGCCCCCACACACCCTGCCCAGGGTTCTGCTCCCCTGCTCCTTCCCATCAAGCACAGCTTACACTAGTACTTGCAGGGCAAAGCTTGTGCCCTGAGAGGGAGGGGTTTAAGCACCTGTGAGCCACAGAAGCCTTGTTTAAACTGGCAATATAAGGTTGCCAAGTGTCTGGTATTGACCCAGATAGTCCGGTATTTTCGCCTCCTGTCCAGTAAAAAAAGAATTCAGAAGATACCAGACACCTAAAATGTCCAGTATTTTCAGTTTTTTTTCCCAGCCAGGAGGTAAAAATACTGAACATGTATAGTTGGCACCTGAGCCCACTTTTTTTTTTGCTCAACTCTTGGGGTTTTTTTTGCTCAACAACTTTGGCCCCCCCTTTTTCCCCCTCCCCTCAACAGAATTTTTTCCCCATTTTTTGGGGGGAGGGGTGTTCAGTATTTTGATTGAAACCATCTGGCAACCCTAATTGAGGAACAAAGCCTAAGAGAGAGCAGTAGAGTAAGTCTGCACTGTACAATGGGTGAGATCAAACTCTTTACACCAGGGCTATTCAACTTTGGAAGTCCCAGGGGCCACAATGATACTCACAGCACATGCCAAGGGCTGCAACTTAAGTGGTTGCATATACATGCAAATATATATGCTATTAGCTTCACAATACATAGGCCCCATTTAAGTCAGTTCTGCTGATGTTAATAAGAGCGTGAGAAGCGGGGCAAAGGGTGGTGTGGGCACGGGCACCCCGGAGAAAGAGGGCAAGGGTAGTCAGGAAACGGGGAGGCACCAGGAAGGTGCAGGGGTAAGGGAAGGTGCAGGTGCTAGCGGTATTGTGGGGGTGAAGCAGAAGGGCAGACACTGGAGGGGAGGTACAGGCACCAGAGGAGAGAGGAGAAAGGCAGGGCAAGTGGGTAGAGGGAGATGTTAGGAGAGGGGAAACTACAGGGGAAACTACAGATCAGAGTGGAGCTAGGAGGAGGTGTGGAGACAGGGGGAAGAGAAGGGCTGGTGCAGGGGAGGGGAGCAGGTCCCCAAAGGGCTGAGGGAGTGAGAAGGGCAGGAGCCAGGACAGCAGAGGAGGATGAGGGGTGGAAGGGGACAGGCACCAGGGAAGCAGATGGGGCAAGAGTACGGTGGGAGACATGGCAGCAGAGGGAAAAGGGAGAGGTTTATAAAATATTTATTAACAACTTGGGTGCTACAGTGGCACACATCCAAACAAGCACACATGAATTCAATAGTGGTGCACAAGACAAAATTCACTCTGCTGATGGGAAGAAAAACTTAGAGGGAACATTTCCCCCAGCTTCTCCCCCTATGTTAATGCAATGCAAATTGGGTTAATGCAATTGCAGGATAGTTGAAGGAGGAGCCTACGTGGGGGCCAATCCCATCCCTATTGGTAGGACAGTAGAAGGAGTTTTGAGGGGGTCACATGACACCCTTTACTTCTGATCACATGTCCATCTTGACCCTGGGAGTACTACCTCCAGAGGTGGGACTTCTTGGGGCAGGCACATGGCTAATGTGTCCCTAATTTTGGCTCAGAAAATATGGTCACCATAGATATAATACATGATGCATAACTCTATAGGAAACCTTTTCAGACAGCCCACAATAACCATCCTTATCAGCTAGCTCTTAGCTTTCAGCAAAGAAGGCTACATTTTGGAGGTATACGGACATTTCAGATCACATTTATGCATTATAGTAGCACTCAAAAGCCTTAAGTAGGACTGGGGTCCCATTGTTCTGAACTCAGTCCAAGCCCCCAGAGATTTACAACCTAGAAGGCAAAAAGCAAACAACAAAAATTAATATAGTGCAGTGCTTTGTCAGTTACATTTTGTCACCTCTTTCTATAGTGGTAGAGTGAGGAATGGAAAGGAGAAGAAAATTCCCCTTCATTCCTGTTTCAAGCAGAGCAAAGAGCATTTGTTCCATGATCATACAGTGCTGTGCCACAGTAAAGCCCTGCATATAATGTTAAGGATTATGATTAAAGACTACCCTTGGAAAATTTAATGTTGCTATAAGTATTTAAGAAGCACAATTTAATTACTCAAGAAAGATCCAATCCCATCTGTAATTCAGAAATGGATTGGGATGGGGGAGGGGATGTTAAGCTTTGACACTTTCAAGAACTACAAAGCAGACTATACAAGCCCTAGTTGCGTGTTAGAATGTGAAAACATGATGTTGTCATGAAAGCAGTTTTGCAGCCTTAACTCTAGTATCAACTCCTCTACACCTGCTTGTAGGTGTCTTTTCTCCCAATGGGTAGAGCTTGCAGATAGTTGAATAGGGCCATGCGTAATATGGGGATGGAACTACATAATTGCTTGCAGTCAAGCAACAATTCAAGGTTAGTTTCCCATTCCAAGGCAGTGAAAGTTCTCACTTCGGTAAGTTAGTCCCCAGTGAAGATAAGCGATTCATGACTCATAATGCATTGTGTAAGTACAGAGACTTCAGTGGAGTTACTGACACTGGTGTGAGTGGAGTATCAAAGCTGACATGTTAAAGTACATTCATCCCCCACCCCCATTCTTAAGTCCTACACTTGTGCTGATGCTCATATCTAATCAACTACACTTGACCTGGTACGGTACAAGGTTGCCTCTTACCCATTGTGCTCCATTCAGCCTTAATCCAGATGTTTATTAAAGATTTGGTACTTGTTCACAAAAAAAATCATTGTTGTGTTGTTCCTGCAACCATACTGCGGTATGTTTGGTTGGACAGTAAGTAGTATTTATTACTACCACTGTGGGCAAAGCACTTAAAAAAAATCACTAAGAAATAATGAAGATAACTGGCCAGGCTATGCTGGTGTCTTGAGTGTGTCTTAAAATCACTGTAAGAAATAATGAAGATAACTGGCCAGACTATGCTGGTGTCTTGAGTGTGTCTTAACTGACTCCAATAGGCTAGCTGTAAATTAGGAGCACTTCTAGAAAACTGAATATAGAAGAATTCCATTCTAAGTTGGCAGCCCCACCTATTATGAGCCTTTGTCATCCAATTCTGCCATAGAGGAAAAGGGCTGTTCTAGAGCCAAGCCTGCAATCCACCATGAGGGATATGAAATGTCACTGATCCCCAAAATTGCCATGACCAATTCCTTGAGTACAGCAGAAATGCAACAGTGAACTCTATGTTTGATTGTTCACCCATACATCTCAAAACATAAAAATAAGGATTGTTATCCTGATTTTGTAGCTGGGGAGACTTGAGGTAACTTTGTTGTGCAGAAAGTTAGTCAACAGGCTGGATCATCCTGGTCTGGCACTCTCAGGCCTGGAGCGAACCCAGACCAGGGAGTTTGCTGGATGTGGGGAGGTCAATGCTTCTCTAGTAGCGAAGCCTGGAGCGAACCCAGACCAGGGAGTCTGCTGGACGTGGGGAGGTCAATGCTTCTCTAGTAGCTGCCCTGCTGCCAGCTCGTATCTCCTGGGCTCCCAAGACTCAGTTCCCGGGGTTCCCAGCTAGGGCTGCCCAGCAGCCACCAGTCCCCACTGTCCCTCAGCATTCCTAGCTGGGGCTACTTGGCCACCACCAGCCTCACTGCCTCTGGCGGTTCCCAGGGGTCACCTGGTTGCCACGAACCGTGCTACCTCTGCTGTTGCTGGGGGTTTCCTAGGGTTCTTTAGCCATGGCTGCCAAGCCAGCTATACTGTCACCAGGGACTCCTATGCTGAGGCAGACTCCTCAGCTGCCCCTGGCCTTACCACCAGAGTCCCCAGCGGGAGCGCTCAGGCCACTGCATGGGCCTGCTGCTGGGGGTTTCCTGGTCAAGACTACCTGGCCATCCCAGCCCTGCTGCAAGGGCGTTTTGGGGTTCTCTGGCCCCTGCCAGCCCCAGTGCCAGGGGTTCTCTGGACACGTGGCCCCACTGCCACTGGAGTTCCCCTGCCTAGCTGTTGCTGGGCCATCCAGGATTCCGCAGACCGTAAGTTCTCCAGGTCCAGCAACACCTGTGGTGGACCATGGATGTTGCTGGACCAGAGAGCTTCGGGAGGTTCAACCTGTAGTAACATCCAAATCCCATAGATTATCATTGTCTCTTCCCACTTATTAATCACCTCTTGGAATGCAAACTCAAACTGCCCACATTCATCTAAGAGAAAAAGTCCTCACGCTTTTTTCTGTATTTCCACATCCTTAAAAACCTAAAACCCTCACACATTTTTCCGTATTTCCACATCCTTAAAAACCTAAAAATAACTTCCAAAAATGTGTGGGGAAGAAGAAATGAGCAACTGTAGGTGAGGGAGGAAGAGGGAGATCCAACTTTTCAAATCCTGCTACAGGAATAACTTCCAAAAATGTGTGGGGAAGAAGAAATGAGCAACTGTAGGTGAGGGGAGGGAAGAAGGGGGTGATCCAACTTTTCAAATCCTGCTACAGGGGAACATCAGCAGATAGCAAATTTTGCTACAAAAAAACCCAGACTAATCTATGCTGCCCTCTTGTGACTTACTAAAAAAACATTTAAGCAGCAGCGATATCCCCACACTAGAAACAAATTTAGTGAAAAATTTAAACTGATTCTAGTCATTTTAGGTTCTTCCCTAGGGTGGAAGAAGTTTCAGAGCGAGGGTGGGGACTGGACCACAATCAGTTGAAGGTGTTAAAAAACAGTCCCACATTGTATGGTCCTTATTTCCATCTCTGAAGACCTGACTTCCCATCCTAGCTTAAGTCAAGAGTTTTGGTGGGTTCCATCCTAGCCTCTATTTGCATACATCAAGAATGAGCTACAGCATTTTAGTGCAGAGAGGTTGAATTCCAGGAGAACAGAATGTGCTGCAGGTGATCATGGCGGGGAAGTGATGGAACACCAGGAAAGGGGAAGGGACTTGAAACAGAAGCCACAGCAATCTAGATACACCAAGGATTTAATTTCTCTAAACTTTATTGGCACTGAAGGAAAAACAGGAAATGGACTTCAACAAATTCCTCTAAAGGTAAGTGTCTTGATACCAAGGTTCTTTATGTGGTTAGCCACATGAGCCCCATGAGTTAGCTCACAGGGACTGCTGTTTTAATATAACCAAATAAAAAGTTGTGTCAAAAATGTGTAGACATAATTTACAGCAACAAAAAACAAAGCCAGGCAAACACTTGATAGGATAACCCCCTGGGAGGATAATCCCCCTGAAGAGGATACTATATATCCAAGTAGTAAACAAATTGGGAGAAAGGGGGAGAGAATAAAAATGAACTCAATGTATTGTAACAAAAAATGTGTTTAGAAATCTCACCATAATACTGAAAGCTTCTTACATTAAATTTCCTTGCAAAATATCATCTCTTTACAATACAGTATACATTTTCAAAAGGGGACTATAAACATCTCCTCCTCCCAGGACTAATATTTTCTAATTGTGCATAGCTAGAAAGACTGAAATCAAATATCATTAGATACCACTGGAATATATAATACTGGTAGGAAAGGGTACAGCTGAAACAACTACACAAGGAGTTAGTCCACCTAACTGGCACAAATTGTTCTATTCCTATTTTAGACCATTAGAATGTGACCAAAAAACCCAACGTAACAGGAGCTCAGCAGTGTTCTGTGACCCATCACAACAGAAAGAGGTTTACTGGTTTATTATTTGAACAAGCATACTTCAGACACTGTGCATCTTCTCATTAGAAAACTGCTGAAGATGCAATAAAACTTTTTTTAGACACAGAACTGCAGAAAACCAGCTTTAGAGCACCAGAAGTGAAGTTTATTGTTGTTTGTTCTCCCAGTAATGAGATTCAAATAGAATCAGTGCCAATAACTCTTCCGTAAAGGAATATGTAAATACGTTCTGACAAGTTTAACTGCAGTCTTATTTGTAACTTTCAAACACTGGGGTGTTTTGTGAGGGGCTTTTTTTGGGTTGATTGAAAGTTTCCTTCTTCCTCCCCTCCTAAAGGCACATCGTGTCTGAAGACAAAGTGCTTCAAAATGCATTTACTGGGACTTTGGAAGGATCTACATTAAGTTTGCCACCAACAGGGGTACATTTGGACAGCATTTACATGCAAAGAGACAGATATTACTTCTCTAAAGTCACTTCTACAGAGGAGGTGGTCTCAAGAAGTACAAGCGATTTCTGGAGAAATACTGCAGGCTTGTATTAACACTGACTTTGAGAGTCTTCTCTCCCCACCAGAGTTGGAACATTCCATTGTACCACTTCTACTTTGCCTTAGTAGAAGGAGTTTTGAGTAGCTCTAACAAGGTCAGATGTTTTCCTTATCCTGCCCATACTACATGGATGAGAAAGGGGGTGGAGAGCTTCCACAGGGCTGAAAGAATTGCATAGATTTTTAAACACATTAAGCAAGAACACACCACCAGCCTGCCTGAAGGCTGCAAATTTAAGTAACAACCAGCTAAGTTAAGCTGGGAAGAACTGGAGGAGTTCATTTAGATGGATTCAGATTTTAAAGGACTCTAAAACTGATGCATTTTCCTTTATTTTCTTCTACAAACAACCAAGGCCTTATCCAAGTCAACCCTGAACATACATGGTTATTTCCTGCCAACTGCTACACTGAAACCTCTCTAACAAGGTCAGGAATGCATAACCAAGTCCAGTTATGCAAATGGACTTGAACTGTACATCAGTGACAGCAAGCTCAGGACTGAAAGTCACATCACCAGGGACAGAAACTAGAGAACCTGTAAAAGCAACATGTGTGTTCTCAAGGTCAGATAAAGGACATCATTCCAAGGGAAGGAGAGAGGTTTGAGTGAGGAACACAACTTCATTCCTATCAATTAATAATTAAGATAACAGGAAGAGGATTCCATGTAAGATAGACCACAGGTCAGGTATCTTCCCAACCCAAAGAAATGGCAGGAAAGGAGAGAGGAGTTTAAACTGTAACAGATGAATCAGATGTGAAGTGAAAAGCCTTTAGGTCACTGATTATTTTTGGTTCCCAGCTGCTGGTCATTCCTCTAATTTAAACTAAATAAAAAACACAAACTAAGACAACACCTTATTCAAACTGTACACTACAGTATGTATCTGTGCATAAGTCATAAGGCACCAATGCTTTATGTTTAAAAAAGGCCTTTTCTGGAAGTTACCTGCATGAGAGGAATAAATGCAAAAAAAAAAGTCATTTTTGGTGGCTGTGTTTTCATTTGGTTAGAACTACTTAATTTTTAAACTCCCCCCACCCACCCCATCCCTCACCCTGCCTATTCCTTTAGATTTCTAATTGCAGGTCACTACTTGAAGTTAAAGCCCCTCCAGCAACAGTGTCTCCACTGCTGCCTGCCATTTGTTGTGCAAATGGCAATGTACAAGAATTACTGTGAAGGAGGAACCCCTCTCCTTACTAAGTCCACTGCTCCAAAACAAGTTGTTATAATGGAAGTGTCCAGATCACTCCAAAGGACTCTGGAATGGGAGACAGTTTCATATTTAAAAAAAAGTCTGATAGACCTTCAAGAAGTCTTAACACTGACAGTTCACAGGATATGTTTGGCTTGCTCAAATTCAGGGAGCAGAAGCAGCTTTGGTCTTTCAGAAATAAACATTCTAAACTTCATTTCCAACCCCACTTCACTCAAACCTTCTCTACACCCCACCTGCCAATTCAATTAAAGTGAAAGCCTTGCACAAAGCAGCAATCTAGCCCCTCGCTACTCAATTCTAATACTGAACTACTGTTGTAAGGCAAATGTGTCAGACTGATGAATTTTACCATATGTAACTCAGTGGAAGTATCTGGCTGCATCTCCTCCAAGTGGACCCAGGGAGCAATGCAGTTGTTTCAGTAAAACAGTACAAAGCCATGTGCAATTGTGATTTTACCCAGTTAGGCAAAAAACAAAATTTCAGATTTGGAGTCTCCACCCCTCATGACATGGATATTTTGTTCCTCCACTGCTGAACTGCAGAGACTGAATGAAACTTGATAAATAAGACCATGGTCACTCTTCTGTAGTGGTTCCAGCGCAGCATGATTACACGTGAATGATGGGAGAGGATGGGGAAGAGGGAGAGTGCAGGGACAGCAGATGCAGGAAGAGTTTACATGGACTCAAACTCATCAATGCGCTGCTTAGTATTGCCCTGCCGGATCTGGCGGAGGGTCTTGTACTTGTCACGGCCCTGTCGCATGTTCTCAGCATGGATCATGTCATTGGCTGTCTTCTTAGTTTCATCCCGGGCATTTGCCAGCTCCGAGGTAAGAGCCTATCGAAAGAGAAAGGCAGAAATAAGGTTACAAGCCAGCACATGCAGCACCCCTGAGCTGTAGGATCAGCAAGAGGTCAAGTGGGCCTTATTTCCTGTGAAAAATTATCGCTATCATTAACGATGGAAAACCCTGTGCCTACAATGTGGGTATTTTCTCATCCCTCAATACAGCCAGGGCAGGAAGTGTGAAGACATCACACTTTGCACACAAACCTAGGTTTGTCTTGTCTATGAGGACGGCTGGACTAAAGCTAGGCATATGTTATCTAGGAGAGAAAAATACTGGTTCCAAAATATGTAGACAGCAGGGGGATTTTTCCCCACAAGTGTGCAGAGGTGGGAGAAGGAAGAAAATGGCAAGATTAAAGATACTTAACTAGTGAACAAAATAGCAAACAAAATCGCAAACCCCCTGCCACTAGCAAGGCACTGCAGATTCTAGCCACTTTGCTAGCATCACCACAGCACCATGCACTATTTTTTCTGCCCTGATCTGCACTCAACTGCAGACAGTGAAAGAGTCACAGGTGCAGTGGCAGAGCTGGACACAGACTACTGTGTTAGTTTAGTGCCAGTGAATGATCATCCAGTAGACAGAAGCTCAGGGTATATCTACACTGCAGAGTTTCTGGAAAAACTACACGTAGGTCCACACTGCTATTACAGTCTTTCAACAATAAATAGTCAGAAAAACCGCTCAGTTCTTCCTATGGTAAACCTCCTTTCACGAGGAAGAAGTCTTTTTCCAAAAAAGCTTTCAGAAAAAGGCACATGTGGACATGGAAGAGAGTTTTTTCAAAAGAGGCCTCCAGGAAAAAAAGTACAGGTGCCCTGATGGCCACTCTGTCCACAGAAATCACAACTGACATGAGAGATAGCATCCAATAAATGTGGATGCTATCTTGCAAAAAAGCACATCACTTTTTGTTGCGCTTTTGCAGCGTAGATGTTCTCTTTTGGAAAAAGTATTTCTGAAGATCTCTTCCAGAAAAGCTTCTTTCCCCAAAGAAGCTTGCAGTCTAGATATAGCCCCAGTGTAGGTACAGCACAGGTGACATCTAAGGAATTGGAGATTTAGGTGTCATTTGAGGAGGTTTTGGAACAAATTGATAAATGAAACAGTAACAAGTCATCAGGAACAAATCACCAGGATCAGATGGCATTCACCCAAGAGTTCTGAAAACTCAAATGTGAAATTTCCCAACTACTAACTGATTTGTAACCTAGCCTTCAAATCATCTTCTGTACCAGGTGACTAGAAGATAGTGAATGTGACACCAATTTTCAAAAAAGGGGTCTAGAGTGGATCTTAATTACATAGGCTGGTAAGCTTAACTTCAGTATTGGGCACATTAGTTGAAATTCTAGCAAAGAGCAGAATTCTCAGACACATAGATGAACATAGTTTGTTGGGGAAAATCAATATGGTTTCTGTAAAGGGAAATCATGCCCTCACTAATCTACTAGAATTCTTTGAAGGGGGAATCCAGTGGATATAGCGTACTTAGATTTCCAGAAAGCCACAAGGTCCCTCACCAAAGGCTCATAAGCTAAGTAAGCGGTCATAGGATAAGAGGGAATGTCCTCTCAGATTGATAACTGGTTAAGAGATAGGAAACAATGGGTAGGAATAAATGGTCAGTTTTCAGACTAGAGAGAGTTAACTAGTGGTGTCCCACAGAGGTCTGAAGTGGGACCAATTCTATTCAACATACAGGCAGTCCCCGGGTTACGTACAAGATAGGGACTGTAGGTTTGTTCTTAAGTTGAATTTGTATGCAAGTCGGAACTGGTACATATTGTAGGGGAAACTCTAGCCAAACATTTCTCCAGAGCTCAGTTTTATTCTCCCACACCTCACTTCCCTCAGTCCTTTATTCTCAAGCTGAGGTGTCGGCTGAGAAAAGCCGCTCCGCGTCTCCCTGGTCTGCTGAGGGTGGGTGCTAGCTTTGCGTCTCCCTGGTCTGCTGGGGGGAAGCAGCTAGTGCGGGGTTGCCTCACCCCGTTTGTAAGTAGGGATCCGATGTAAGTCGGATCCATGTAACCCGGGGACTGCCTGTATTCACAAGTGATCAGGAGAGAGAGCTAAACAGAGGTGGCAACATTTGAAGATGATATAAAACAGCTCAAGATAGTTAAGTCCAAAGCAGACTGAAAAGCTAGGTGACTAGGCAACAAAATGGCAGATGAATTTTCATGTTAAATGCAGACTAATGCATACTAGAAAACAATCCCAACGGTACGTACAAAATTATGGGGACTAAATTAGCTATTGCCACTCAAGAGATCTTGGAGTCATTGTGGATAGTTCTCTGAAAACATCCACTCAATGTGCAGCAGCCATCAAAAAAACAAAAACAAAACAAAAAACACCCAAAATGTTAGGAATAATTACAAAAGGGATAGAGAATATTTTATAGCCTCTATATAAATCCATGGTATGCCAACTCCTTGAATACAGTGTGCAATGTGGTTACCTCATTTAAAAAAATATGTTGGCATTGGAAAGAATTCAGAAAAGGAGCAACAAAAGTTATTAGGGGGTTTGAAATAGCTCCCATATAAGGAGAGAATAATAAAATTGGGACTTTTCATCTTAGAAAAGGAGGGATACAGGATAGAAGTCTATAAAATCATGACTGGTGTAGAAAAAGTTATTTACACCTTCCCATAACAAGAACGGGGCGGGGGAGGCGGGGGGGAGAAGAAGCGGTCACCAAATGAAGTAGAGATAGCAAGTTTAACAACAAACAAAAGGAAGTATTTCACCACATTATGTTCATTCAACCTGCAGAACTCCTTGCCAGAGGATGCTGTGAAGACTAGGCTTCAAAGACAAGATTCAAAAAAGTAGTAGATAGTCATTGATGGACCGATCCTCCATGAATCTATTAGTCAGCATGGGCAGGAATGGTGGCCCTAGCTTCTGTTTGCCAGAAGCAGAGAATGGGCCACAGGGGAGGGAAGACTTGATGATTACCTTTTCTGGTCATTCCCTCCGGCGGCACCTGGCATTGCCCACTGTCAGAAGACAGGATACCAGGATAGATGGATCTTTGGTCTGACCCAGTATGGCCATTCTTAAAGCAAGGCTGGCTTTCCTCATGCTGCTTTCAACAATACCCTCCAAACCTGCCTTTGAGATGCCACAGCCAGGGGTGCACAGTGCCACTGAGCAAAGCCAGCCAACGGGGCAGCTAACTGGCATGGACATTGGCTTGACAAGAACTGGACTATGTCTTCCAGCCTGATCCAGACAAGTGCTAAACAGCTGTCAGACAGTCAGCAAGACTCAAGTGGGCAGAGTACATGGGACACATGCTTTTCTTGGCAAAGGGCAGCACTTTTAATTAGCAAGAGATTTGAATGGTATCGGATGGGAGTGGGTGGGGGAGGGGCAAGCTTCTCCCCCAACATCTTGCTATGTATTGGAAGAATGAGGCTGTGGCGCCCTACTGCTCAGTAGAAGCATCTAATCCCCACTGCAGCTATGAGCGTGGCTGGGAGAAGGGAAACAGCAGCCCAGAAGCAGCTCCCCCCACCCCATCCCTGCATTACCTTCAAGTGTTTCTGAACCCGTTCATTCTTCTCCGCCTCAGTAGTGCGATCCTCCTCGCTGCGGTCCTTGATGGTGGCATCTGCCCTCAGCTCAGCACTGGCCTCAGCAGCATTCTCATCCTGTTCATCGTCCTGCTCGTTCTCAGACTGCATAGGTTCAGTGACGTGAGGGGTGCTCATGGCCATCTTCAGTTCCTCTTTGGTCTTTTCTAGGTCCTCCTGCACTGTCTGAGCCTGCAGACAAACATCCCTCAGTGGGTTAAGGGGAAAGAGACCCATTTAAAGGCTTCCCTAAATCCAAGGGACCCAGGAAAGGGATGCATCTGAATCCAGATGCTTTTCCTGGATGTCCATAAAAAGCCCATTGGGTATCAAGCATTTTAAAGAGAATTCATAGGCTATCCAGGCATCCCCACACAGTAGTGAGCTAGGTTATGGACAAATCTAATCAACCCAGTCATATCCTATTTTCAGTGACCAGAGACAACTTAGACTGGCTATTTGGACAATCTAGGCAGTTGTGTACACACATGTACTGGTGAGTTGGGTGTGTGCCTAAAATGAACACAACTGCGATCAGATACAGCTTCAGGTTATGCAAGTTCTGCACTGTGCACACTCATACTTTAAGCACCCTCTGTCTGTACGTAAATTAGGCATGAATAGAGGTATAAGCATGCCCATCTTTTGGAAGCCTTCCCATAGGATAGTTCCCACGTCTGTCTGTTTAAAGTTGCAGAGGGAATATGTTCTGCTTATTCTTAAATTGTTCAAAAGCATTAGTTTAGGAAAACTGAATCAATTCAGAACTGTGCGCACAACTGAATTTTACTTGTTTAAAGTCGCTCCTGCCACTTTTCGGACCAAAAACTGATCAAAGTGAACTAGGAAATATCTGGTAGCTTGGTAACTGGAGGTAATTCAGCTTTTCAGCAGAAAGGAGGGGTAACAATATGCGGCAGAGTTTGCCGCATGCTAATGGATTTGAGGTTTGGGTCACATGATTAAACAATGAGGTTGACAGAGCATCAGACCAGTCCACAGTAAGAAGCCTGACACTTTGCTTTTTGTATTTAGGCGCCACTGATACCTTCTGTTGCCACTCCATGGCTTCGCTCTCTTTCTTCTGCCTGGCAACTTCCAGCTGTGAGATTCTGCTTGTGAGTTCTGACATCTCAGCTGACTGTAGAAGAAATAGGAAGCAATTTGGTGTTTTGTTTCTCCTGATGTTAGACCCGAAGAACCTGGAAGTTCTATTTCACTTAAATAATAGGACCAGAACCTAAAGGGGAAGATTTTTGCCAGACTTCCAGAGATGCAAAGCATAGATGCCTTAACTAACAATGTATCCACAAGTTGCTTAACTTGTCTGCTTCATAGTTGGTCTTCCCTTAATTCTATGAGTTTTAAAAACAAGGCCATGAAGTTGTTCTCAGTACACAGCTCAACTAGTTAGCACATACATGACTTCACTGGAAGCTATTCTCCAGTCACTACATGCAAAAGGCAGCTCAAATGGAGAGCACAGTAAACACCAGCATTTTTCCAAGAGGTTTTTAAGATCCCTTATGACACTGCTACATTCTTCATCCAGTTTTGAGGCCAGCAGTCTACAACACCAGTAAAATTACTCCCCCCACTACAAGCTTTCAGGAAAGCTACTTACCAGCTGCTCCTGAGTCTTTTGCTGATCGTGGGATGCTTTCAGCAGGGCTTCCTTTGCCTCCTCTGCCTCTCGGCGTTCCTTAGCCAGCTTCTCTGCCTCTTCCTGGGCTCGTTTCCTTTCCTGCTCTAGTTCCAATGCCCTGCGAGTCTGTTCTTCCAATTCTAAAATTAGAATGAAGTATGAGGCCAAGATGATCTTTCTGATCCTCCAAGCCCACTTTTTTTTTTTTTTTTTAATTAAAAAGTGAGGAAAGCAAGCTTCCCTCCCCACAACAGACATGCCCTTTCCTTACACTGCCAACATAGGGAAATGGGTAATAAAGTACAAGATCATTAGGAATACACAGTTTAGACAGCCTGGCTTTCCACTGTCCTACCCAAATTACAGCAGTATTTTAACTAGCTTCAAATACCATCTACTTATTAGTCAGAACCACTTGCCTGTGCAAAAGCACCAGACAACTCAAACTGCTGCCTTTTTTTTTTTTAACTCCAAGAAACAAACATACACAGCCATTTGCTTTGTCAGCACCACATTTACCACCACACAAGGAGGCTAGAAGTTCAGGAAAAGAACAGGAAGGATAGTAAAGTCTATTGTAACTCCCCCATGGAGTACCATGGAAAGTCTTTCCACCAGCACTAGTTGAACCAGAGCAATGCGATTATGTAGCTCAAGAAAGTAAGATGGTTGCTGGTATAATTGTGGATTTTTTTTTTTAAATTAAGGCCCTGTAGAACCAGACTATCCCAGTCTCTCCCAATGCACACTTCCTAATACCTAGTTGAGCTTTCTTGGTTTGCTCCTCAATTTGCTTGAGTCGTTCCATCAGCTCTTCCTTCTCACGCTCAATCTTCTCTTTCTCCTTTTCTGCCAGTTCCCTCTTTTTCTTCTCATTCTCCAACAGAGCTCTGATTTGGGGGAAAAAAGTGATAGTACAGCAGTTAAATTTAAACCACAATTCAAAGACATCAATACTTTATAATAAAAGACCTATGAATATGCAAGCAGCATTGATTTAGTGAACTTGAAAGGCAAGATAGGTGAGGTAATGTTTTCAATTGGACCGACTTCTGTTGGAGACAAGCTGTGTTGCTTACACAGAGCTCTTTCCAGTCCTGGGACTGACACCAGCAACAACATCAGTGAACTCAGGTTCTCATTTGTAGAAATTACACAGATTTAATTACTGCCCTGTTTACATGATCTATTTGGGCTATCCAAATTCATTAGAACTAATATTCAGAATCATGGTATTGATGTGAATAGAACACTTCCAAGCATTTCAGATCAAAGGAGTCCTACACAGTCACTCATAAGGAGTGTCATCTATGTCATCGCTTTAGGTTTTCTGGAGCAAAGTGGATTCTTGTCTAACAGTGGACTCAAAAACACTAGCCACCTCAGAGCTCTGTAATACCCACCTCTCCATGTGTTTCTGATGCTTCTCTTCCCGAGCCTGTGCCTTCATCTGCTGCACCTCAATGGTGTCTGGCTTTCGTCTGCGCATGTAAAGCTCATGGTTCCCCATACACAGCGCTAAGATTCGCTTGTTAATCCGTAATCGTGGGGCATAAAATACAAAGTCCTTGGGACAGATGGGAGACAGCGTTAGACTCCTTGTTCCTCAAGATGCACTAAACACACTTTTCCAAGAGGTTTTTAAGTACAAAGCTATTAGATACAGAAGAGATGTGAAGTGACTGAAAGAACCCACTAGCAGTAGTAAGAGTGGATTTCAAACATTTATATTCAGTAGAGACTAGTGCCTGATGACATGGATCAGGCACCTTGAATTAGGAGTACTAAACAGTGGGTTTAGATTTTGAAGAGTGACAGAAGTTGTATAGGAGTAAGTATCTCCATACACACATGCTGGAGATTACAATGAAACTAGTGTTAGCACGTTTTCCTGAAACCATATAGGACTGGGAATGCAATTCAAGTCTCTGGCCTTAGAAAACCCATAGGGTTTATGCTCTACCCAATGCATACTCAAACTGGATTATGTGCATACACATGCAGTACAGAAATACTCAAACCCCAGTTAATCAAAGCATCACTATCTAATTTCAATGTCTATTTTTAAGGAATAGTTTTTACAGTGAGACATTCTACAAGTTGTTAATGCTATTTGTCATAAACCGGTCTCATACCCTTACTGTTTCTATTCAGCTAAGACTGAAGTTCTGTTTTTTTCATGTCAACCAGGTTTCCTCTTATGCCAGAAAAATAGGAATGTGATGTCAGAGAAATACATCTTCATTGTGTGAATGAGCTACAAGAGCTGATAGAAGGTTGTTTCCAAGTACTGGTGACTTCAACAATTCATCCAGGCACAGAAAGTGGAAGATACAAATAGGTACATGAACCCAAGGATCTATAGCCTCATTTCACTTTCTCCTGAATGTCAGAAAATGACTTTCTAATCTACTTTCTGGATTTTATTTTAAAGTGAACAGGATTAATTTGAGTTATCAGAAAGAGTAAGAGTCTTCCTAATTCCTAACAAGAAGGCAGAAAAGTTACTTCTGAGATTCTCAGTATGTAGCAGTCTGCTCCCAAACAGAAGCGGACAACTGTACAAGAACAGCTATTGTATGAACTCCAACCTCTTTTCTGCCAGGACACCTAACCATTTCCCACCGTTAAATCTGCTCTGCAATGATTAGCGTATTATCTTGCCGAAGTTACTGAAATAGACTAGACTCCTATTTAGAGCTTACATGTACAGTTGAGTGCTACACATTTAAGATTTACGTTTGACTACTGTTTCTTACTGGTGCTTTCTTGTCGATAGGCTTGATAACAAACTTCTTGTCATTGAATGAAATATTCCTGATCTCACTCCAGGGGAATCCAATTTTTGGTGTTAATCTGCAATGACAAAGAAAGGAATTATCCCAAAGTGTAGAAAGTTCTTGGTCTACAATCCCAGGCTGAGAATCTCACCCAAACTGGTTCGTGGTATTTCAGTACTTCAATTCCAGAAACAAGACAACACAAGAGCAAGAGTTGACAGCTTTTCAATCTCTCCCCTGCCCCACTTCCCCAACTAGAGAAAGAATGAGGTCACGTCTAAACTACAGATATACTGGTAACTATTCATTCAGGATGTTAAAAATCCACACAAACATTGGCCTGAGTCTCCCCAGCTCTCTCT